CTCATAGGATCGTGCCACATGTCAAATTTATCGATCTCAGATTTTGACACGTGTCAAATAAATTTCCATTTTTAATAAAAAAGGTAAAAAGATAATTATAAAAAAACAGTTTGAAAATGTAAAAAGCTAATTATAAGGAAATTGTACCTAACTACCTATATTTCCATAAGAGATTTTGCCATCTAGCAACCAAAATTTTTGTGTTTAACAACTTCAAATTTTTAGAAGATAATTATAACAAAATTATAAATTTAAATAGTTAGATTATGTAAGAAAACTATAAGTATATATAAAGAAATTATATGTATATTTTCCATAAAAAACAAAATTATAAAATTATGCTAAACATTTTATTTATAAATTACTAATTGTACAAGAAATAAAAATAAAAAATAGAAAAAGGATTAAAGAAATTATACAATCAATTATTATTCCTATAAGAAAAAAGATTGTATATAATCACCTTAATATAATTAATAAATTGTCTCATATTTTCTCACTAAGCAAACTAATTTCTTCACACACCACCGTTGTTTTAACTTAATTCTATTGGTAAAACTTTTTTTTTGGTTATAAAGTATTTTTAGGATAATATAAGTAACTAACATTTGACTCAAAAATAATTAAAGAAATAGCCATGTGTTAAAAAAATTTAGAAAACTAATGTTTTTAAGATATGTGAAAATTCAAAATGGCTCTCAAACAAAAGACAAACATACAACTGCGTATTCTAATTTGGAGGAAAAAAAACATGAAATAAATACTAATAACACGAAAAATCTGAAGAAATAAAAAATCAATATTAGAATTCTGACAACGAAATAGAGACATCCAACAATGTCATTTAATAAAATAGCATGTCATACTGAAAAATAATAGGAGTAGCATGTGATTGTTATGGAGGTGATGATGGTGTTGGTTAATGGTTACGGAGGTGGTGATTGGGTGATTTTAAAAAATAACATGATCATGTAAAAATTACATGCATTTATCATTTGTTGTAAATATATCATGTCTTTTATAAAATCAAACACTGTGAATCACGATGGTTTTCTAAAAATAGCATGTGATATTCAGACCCAAGGAATATATGGCAATGAAGGCAAATTAAGAATTATGAATGGCGATAGACATAGATTAGAGTTGTTGTCGGAGAGGCTAAAGAAAGTGGAGTAATAAGAGAAGTTGAGAAAAGAGGAGAAGAAGCGATAATAGTGGTGTTGGTGTTGATGATGATGGTTCAAGCTCGGTGGTGGATCTAAATTAGCAAAATTCGGTATTGATAGTGGTGGTTATTGTGATAATAGTGAGATTCATCTGTGGTGGTGGGTTAGAGTAGTGAGACTCGGTGGTGATGTCCGAATTTATAAAAAAATGTTATTTTGAATTATAGTAATCATATATTAACGTTTTAAGTTATTAATAAATTATTCGAAAATGTTATTGGAAATGTTATAGACTAATCCATTATTCGAAAATGTTATTGAAAATGATATATCATTGAAATTTTTTTATATAAATCGAATTTATAAAGAAAATGTTATTTTGAATTATAGTAATCATATAATTCGAAAATGTTATTGAAAATGTTATATACTAATCCATTATTCGAAAATGTTATTGAAAATTGAAAATGTTATTGAAAATTAAAAATGATATATCATTGAAAAAATGTTATATTATTCGAATTTATAAAGAAAATGTTATAATTCATGTATAGAGTTAAGTAAAAGGTATTATTCTAATTATATCTAAACAAAAGGTATTATTCAAATTGATGTATTACTAGAATTCGTAATTTTTGAGAATATTTTCACGGGATAATCAAATATTTATTTATGAGATTTGGTCAAATCTCGCGGGTCAATGATATCTACAAAACGGGTTTTCTAAGATTTTCTAAACAATAAAATCAAATATTCAGCTGAATATCCTTAACAATATAATCGACAATAACTAATCCAAGCGATAATACACAATATTTTCTCGATCATTTTTCCAACTTGATCATACGCATATAATAAACTCAGAAAGAACACGCGGATCTTCTCTCTCTTTCTATAGTGGACGAGGGCTATACAAACTAGGCGGTGAAAAGTGTAGCTCTCAACATCTCACTCAAGCTTAAGATCTCTCTCTCTCTCTCTCTCTCTCTCTCTCTCTCTCTCTCTCTCTCTCTCTCTCTCTCTCTCTCTTTTTCAAATCTTCAGATTTTCTCTTTTGTCTCGCCCTTTTGATGCTTTGGATTTTGATTGCATGCTATTTGATTGGACGGATCTCTTGAAGATTAACCTAGCTTTCGGGAAATTATAGATTGATGATATCTGGGAATTCGAATTCGATATCGTGTATGATACAACTAATTTGATTGAAATTTGTGGATTCGAGTTTCGGAATTGGATCGGAGTCTCGATTCGATGTCCCTTGGGTTTGTCATGTTAATCATGTTGGTGGCCAGAATTTATCTATGGGTACAGAAAGCTCTCTCTTTTGATCATAATTTAAGAATTTCAGGTGATAAGCGCATATGCCGTTAACAAACCATGTGAGTTAGGTTTTCTTATGGACATTGGTCGGGCTTTGTTGATGCTGGGAGCTTTATCAAGTAAACTTTTTCAATCTTTCATTATGATGTCAAGATAGGTGCCTTTGAGATGTATATTATGATAAGTGTAATTTTGATTGAATTTTGATCTTGGATTTTGGTCTTTCTCCTCTCAATATGCAGCAACCCAATGAGGATCAATATCATTTCTCATTCTCTCTCACTAATTTGTTCTTTGTTTCTCCTCACTTACGATGAATCAGCATCTACCAACTAAGAAACTCATCGAGTGATCTAATGAGGATGAAGAAGGAATATACAAATTTTACATTATTTAGTTTTTTCTCAAAGGTTTCATATATATATATATATATTTAGTGAATGAGTCATCTGTTTCTTCTTTTTCAATCTATGTGAAAGGGAACTCGATGGAAACCAGTACTCCAAGATTCTTCAAAATTTTCAAGAAAAATTTGTGCCAAACCAGAATGGTAATAAAAGAGAACCTAAGATACATATTTCAGTTTTTTTACCTTTGTTTCTTTTCCTTTGATGTTTTTCTCTTTCAAAACTTTAGTCCGCAAGGTTTGTCAATCTTTGTATGTTTGAGTTTTACAATGGCACAAGAAAGTAATTTGCTGGTGGACATGACATCAATTGCTTGCAAACATTACTGAGCATGATGTTAAAAAGAAAGAAGAGAATCTTAGCTCATAAATAAATTGTGTTCCTAATTTTGCATATTGTAGTACAATATTTTGTTTCAGGTATGTCTTCAAAGTAACAGTCACACACGGTTATGCTGGAAGCATCGTGGAATACCAGGACTTTGTGTATATTTCTTCACTTGTGCGTATATCTTCATGACACAATAGTCTTTAAGATAAACTTAGCTTTTTTTTTTTTTTAATGGTTTTAAACAGGTCTGTAACTATGTTCCACCTCCTCCAATCAATAATAGCATTAAGGTGAGTTCTGATATAATTCAAGTTTTTCGTTTTAGAAAAAGATTCTTGGTTATTTAGTAGAACCCAAACTCTCCCATTTTTCACTTTCAGTTTACTGATTCCTTATTGCTCTTGCTTTTGATAGTGAATGACCTTTTGATATTCCATTCCCTTATTAGCATTAGATATGCTTAATTTCATTGGACCCTTACCCATTGTACAAATGGAAGTTGGAATCGAGGACTGACTGCATATCGAGTTTGAGTACAATAAAAGCAAGTAAGATAAATTGATTTTCATAATTTCGTGATCGAGCTGTGTGGAAAATGTAAAACAACAGCTGGAGGCAGGTATCACCTAAAAGATGTTATCCTTGGGAAAATATAATTTTTTCTGGTGAGAATCAAGATAAAGAAATGGATCTTGAGATCAGACGACAAGAATCAACTGGAGCAGGAGCTAATACTCACGTTCAAACGGAAACACACCAAATTTGAGTTAATGGATGATGCTCCAGTTAAAGGTATATTCGTCACATGTTACAAAACTCATTCAGACCTATTTTAAATACAAGTTTCTTGTGTTCTGTTTTGTTCCATACTTATTTTTTATGAGTTTGAATTCTTTTTGTTATTTCTGTTCTTGAACCATTGTTTTCTACGTTTTGATTGTCTAAGTTGCATGTTTGGTTTGTCTAAGCTAGAGATTGCAGGTTTTTGTTTGTCTAAGTTATAGATTGCAGGTTTTGGTAAATTAATTTGCAGAATTTGGTAGTTGTATTGTTTTGGTTTCCAAGTTGCAGGTTTGGTTTAAGAAATTGTAGGTTTTTCGTTTTGCAGGTTTTATGATTCATGTTTGCATATGAAATTTGATTTGCTTAATATGCTTTTAACTACTACTAAAATACATAATGAGGATCTCGACAGGTACAACAATTTCTAAGAATGCTATGCGGGTCAGTTCTCACCAAAGGAAGAGAAGGAAGATGAGAGCGATAAAGAAGTTTTCACTCTGTCAATTTGTCAAATAATGCAAGGTTTTTAGCTTCTGCATTTATAGTTTAAAGATAAGAGAAAATTCTTTGATTTGGAACTAAGTTCCTTTGATTTGGTCTCTCTTCAAGTAAATATTGTAAATGTAAACGCACAATGTAAGATTTTTTTTTCTCTTCTAAATTAACGATTCCTATCTCTACAAATCTTTTTTTAATTTTTCTCTTCTATTCTTTGAAATTGATGTATGTGTCAGATACAAAATTAAGTTGCTCAACAAAAAACAAATGTCAGATACAAGATTAATTTTTTTTATGTCACATTAATAGTTAGAAGTAGCAATTTTAGTCTGATAAAGTATTGATTTATATAGAATTGTTAATTTCTTTGACAGTTGACACCTATAAATATGTAATTCTATAATACTAAATTAAACATATACCATTGATTAAATAAAAATTATCATTATGCTGTTAATACCTAAGTTGCTTAAATGAGATGAACCACACATAAGGTATAAAAATTATTGGATTATTTACCTTGCACTCTTCATGAGATTTAAATGGTCGAATTACATGTTCATAGAGCTGCTGTCTTATATGATCAAGGCCCCAAACGTCATCCCAGGTTACATCAGGCTTAGTAGAGAATCCGTTATTAGTTACAACATATTGCAACCTCTTTAGCGCTTCCTGTGGTTGAAGCTTTAGTTAGATATGGAACCAGCAAAAGAACTAAGACAAATAGATTCTCACCAAGAAATCATCGGTGGTGACCTCTGACAATGGTTGATCGGTTTCCTTTGATCTCCTGAACAAAGCATAACGGGCGGCTCCATTCACCAAACGAGTAAAATCAGATTCACTGAAACCCGCACTCATCCGAGCTATTCTTTCATAATCCAGATTCAGATCGACCGCAAGGTGGCAGGTTGCCGATCGGAGAAGAGATTCTCGAGTCTTGAGAGAAGGGAACTTGTCGCCGGAATTTTCGCTCGACATGGCTGGGGATGAAAACAGAAAGCGGCGTGGGTGAAACCCTAAATCTACTCGAAGCGGCAGACAATTGGTTTTCTGTGGAGAAGTCGCTAAAATGACATACTATGAAACCCTACTTACACATATGGGCCGAATGGGCCTTCTGAGGCCGATTTCTTACACGGTAATTCTCTGATCTCCTTTACCAGATTTCGGTTTTGCAACTGTGAGGTCTCGTACAACTTTAGAATTAGAATATTAAATTAAAAGTCAATAAAGAAGTTATAAAAACAAAAAAAAAAAGTCAATACTTGGATCAAATAAAGAACTGAAAAACCTTGAACCAGTCGTTTCAGTAAAACTCAATTTAAATTAATAGACTCATAGTGACTGCTCAATTAGTATTAATAGATTATTATTATGCATATAAAATTTGCACTACATATTTTAAAAAATATCCAAAACCTAGTAAATATAAAGATACAACTACTTTAATATATATAATTCAATGAGTTTAAAACAAGTAAAAATCCTAATTAATCAAAAATTGAAAACTATAATTCAAATTCAGTAAACCGGGTCTTGTTATTGACATGATTCACCAGTTTTTTCATTTTAACTCTAGTCCAAAATTTTAAATCAAACCGATTCCAGTAAGAGTAGCTATTACCGGTTGGACCGGTTCAACCAATCGGTCCAGTCCAGTTTAACACATTGATTAACATATTATTTGTTGATGTTGTTATGTAGGGAATAGAAGAGACACGTTGGATCATTTTAGAAATAAATTGGGATGAAATATTTTCATTACTTTATTGAATCAATAACTGTTATTATTCGAGCTCCGTAACTCCGCCAATATACAGTAGAACCTCTATAAATTAATACTCGATAAATTAATAACCTCTATAAATTAATAAATTTTTCCGGTCCCGAGTTGGGACCAGTGTAAATTTTGACACAATTCGATAAAATAATAAGATAATAATTTTTTTAGAAATCCTATGTAAATATATGGTCCCATTAATACTATAAATTAATAATTTTATAAATATATCAAAATATATTTATAGATATGTTATATATGAATACTAGATAAGGCCCGCCTAAATAGGCGGATGTAATATATAAAAATTAAAATGATATTTGAATTTTGAATAATAAATAATAATCCATACACTTTTCCTAATATTTAATAATTTAATATTTTTTGTTTTAAACAAAAATTAAATTTTACACATTCCATTTTATTATACATTTTAACTATTTATTTCATCGTAATAAACTATCTATAGCATCATAATAAACTTAATTTTAAGTCTTCATAGTTCATCTTAATGGATAAACTGCTAATAATAATTTTATATCAAAATCGTATGTATACCATATCAAATCTATAACTTAGTTAATATTAAATATGATTAACAAATAACCAAAAATTTAATAAAAAATAGAAATCCACAAAAATTATGGAAAACAAACATTGTATAATATATAGTTTTTCTATATAACGTAATCTCATAAGTTAGTTTTACCCATGGCAAACTATTTTTAAATGAGTTAAATTAATAAATAAATCATTAAAAATATATATATTAGCATTCTCATTAAGTAATCAAAAATTCAATCTTATAAGTCATTTCCCATATATTTTGTGTTTATAATTATGACTACATGCGTTAAAATTATTAAAATAAAATATAAGTATAACTACACTAATATTCTTATCAAATATTCAAATATTCGTTCATTTTTATAAGCTCATTATTTTTTGTAAAAATTTTTTGTTTTCATTTGACGAATAAAACACTATATTACGATGATAAATACAATTTTATCCTATTAAATTAATGTTATATAAATAATTTATATTATTATTTAAAACTTTAACGGTTATTGTTTATTTGTTAATATCTATACAAAATTATTTAAAAAAACAATTAACACATGTAAAGAGAAACTGTTAGTTTTCCTTTTTAGTTAAGAAAAATAAAGTTAACAAATTTTTGAAATTAGATATGTAAATTAGTATATGTAAATATTCTTTTTTTTTAGTTTTCCTATTTCGTTAATAAAAAAAGTTAAATAGTTTTTGACACATGTCAACATCTGACCGATAGACGTGACACGTGTCACAATCATGCAAGTTATTAACTTTGAAAACCATACTTTATATAATAAGAGCTTTTTTTTTTTAATGGTTTTAAACAGGTCTGTAACTATGTTCCACCTCCTCCAATCAATAATAGCATTAAGGTGAGTTCTGATATAATTCAAGTTTTTCATTTTAGAAAAAGATTCTTGGTTATTTAGTAGAACCCAAACTCTCCCATTTTTCACTTTCAGTTTACAGATTCCTTATTGCTCTTGCTTTTGATAGTGAATGACCTTTTGATATTCCATTCCCGTATTAGCATTAGATATGCTTAATTTCATTTGACCCTTACCCATTGTACAAATGGAAGTTGGAATCGAGGACTGACTGCATATCGAGTTTGAGTACAATAAAAGCAAGTAAGATAAATTGATTTTCATAATTTCGTGATCGAGCTATGTGGAAAATGTAAAACAACAGCTAATTCTGTATGCTCTGGATGCAGGTATCACCTAAAAGATGTTATCCTTGGGAAAATATAATTTCTTCTGGTGAGAATCAAGATAAAGAAATGGATCTTGAGATCAGACGACAAGAATCAACTGGAGCAGGAGCTAATACTCACGTTCAAACGGAAACACACCAAATTTGAGTTAATGGATGATGCTCCAGTTAAAGGTATATTCGTCACATGTTACAAAACTCATTCAGATCTATTTTAAATACAAGTTTCTTGTGTTCTGTTTTGTTCCATACTTATTTTTTATGAGTTTGAATTCTTTTTGTTATTTCTGTTCTTGAACCATTGTTTTCTACGTTTTGATTGTCTAAGTTGCATGTTTGGTTTGTCTAAGCTAGAGATTGCAGGTTTTTGTTTGTCTAAGTTATAGATTGCAGGTTTTGGTAAATTAATTTGCAGAATTTGGTAGTTGTATTGTTTTGGTTTCCAAGTTGCAGGTTTGGTTTAAGAAATTGTAGGTTTTTCGTTTTGCAGGTTTTATGATTCATGTTTGCATATGAAATTTGATTTGCTTAATATGCTTTTAACTACTACTAAAATACATAATGAGGATCTCGACAGGTACAACAATTTCTAAGAATGCTATGCGGGTCAGTTCTCACCAAACGAAGAGAAGGAAGATGAGAGCGATAAAGAAGTTTTCACTCTGTCAATTTGTCAAATAATGCAAGGTTTTTAGCTTCTGCATTTATAGTTTAAAGATAAGAAAAATTCTTTGATTTGGAACTAAGTTCCTTTGATTTGGTCTCTCTTCAAGTAAATATTGTAAATGTAAACGCACAATGTAAGATTTTTTTTCTCTTCTAAATTAACGATTCCTATCTCTACAAATCTTTTTTTAATTTTTCTCTTCTATTCTTTGAAATTGATGTATGTGTCAGATACAAAATTAAGTTGCTCAACAAAAAACAAATGTCAGATACAAGATTTTTTTTTTTTATGTCACATTAATAGTTAGAAGTAGCAATTTTAGTCTGATAAAGTATTGAGTTATATAGAATTGTTAATTTCTTTGACAGTTGACACCTATAAATATGTAATTCTATAATACTAAATTAAACATATACCATTGATTAAATAAAAATTATCATTATGCTGTTAATACCTAAGTTGCTTAAATGAGATGAACCACACATAAGGTATAAAAATTATTGGATTATTTACCTTGCACTCTTCATGAGATTTAAATGGTCGAATTACATGTTCATAGAGCTGCTGTCTTATATGATCAAGGCCCCAAACGTCATCCCAGGTTACATCAGGCTTAGTAGAGAATCCGTTATTAGTTACAACATATTGCAACCTCTTTAGCGCTTCCTGTGGTTGAAGCTTTAGTTAGATATGGAACCAGCAAAAGAACTAAGACAAATAGATTCTCACCAAGAAATCATCGGTGGTGACCTCTGACAATGGTTGATCGGTTTCCTTTGATCTCCTGAACAAAGCATAACGGGCGGCTCCATTCACCAAACGAGTAAAATCAGATTCACTGAAACCCGCACTCATCCGAGCTATTCTTTCATAATCCAGATTCAGATCGACCGCAAGGTGGCAGGTTGCCGATCGGAGAAGAGATTCTCGAGTCTTGAGAGAAGGGAACTTGTCGCCGGAATTTTCGCTCGACATGGCTGGGGATGAAAACAGAAAGCGGCGTGGGTGAAACCCTAAATCTACTCGAAGCGGCAGACAATTGGTTTTCTGTGGAGAAGTCGCTAAAATGACATACTATGAAACCCTATTAGCATATATATAAATAAAATTTTATCCTTAGGTACTGCGGTCCCAATCTGATTTACACCAACGACTAAATTTGTACCGTTCAAATTATTGATTGCAACTACGAATGACTAAATATACAAAATAATTGTTTGGACCCGTAGTTTACACACATATCACAACTTCCACCCTATGATCGCCTGAAACAAACTTAACCACGTCCAATTATATAACATCAATTCTTCCATAATTATTATGTTCAAATTCGAAATAAAACATATCATAAAATACAGTAGACAATAAGTTTTACAACTTTAAAATAAAACACTTCTACAACATATTTAAAACCAAAATTTTCTGCCTGAGCAACATCGAGTTACCACAAAATATACAATTTTATTACATACAAAATTTTTTTACCCGTGCTGTAGCACAAAATATACTTTTTTTAAAACCATGAATCTGGGCCAAACAAATCCAAATATAGCCCACTAAAAAACTTAAACCCAATACAACAATTTTTTGTTTATTCTCTAATTATCAATACCTACTTAAACCAAATAAATTGTTAATCTCATAAAACAATACAAATCTAATGCAGCTAAATATATTAAATTCTAAAATACAATATTCTCTCCTTATTTATTATCAAGTCATGTTTTCAACCAAATTAAGATTTAACAACATTTAATTCCTATAATAAAATTAACCAAATATGATAAGGAAAATAGATCTAAAATTAATTA